CATCCAAAACCCCTGGCCACGGATCACCAGAGATTTGCCTCCTCCTGCATTCTTAGGCCCTCCCAAGATGAGGGAGCTAAAGGGCCTTGAGGGTCTGAGGATGCCTGAGACAGATGCTAACATGGATGTTGAGACAGGAAAGAATGGTCAAGACAGGTACAGTGGCAGATGCTGAGATGGGTTTGGGAGAAGGACTGAGAAGAGGGAGAGTCCTCCCTAGCCAAGGCTGATCCAGAAGCTTGGGTGATCCAGGCTTCTGATCAGCTCCCTGGCCATTCCTAAAGCAGAACTGACTGCCAGCATCCCTGATCTCTGGTCTGGATTGGGGTTCAGCAGCTTAGGGTGTTACTTACTGGTCTACTACTACCCAGCTTGTTGTAAGAAACCTACTGGGTCTGGGGGGATAGGAGGGGAAGGTGGAGAAGGCGAGGGATTAAGGTGAGGGATTAATGTAAGATTTTAGAAGAACACAGGAGGAGGAACGTTTCCATCCTGTTGGGCCAGGAGACAAACCCAGAAAGTGGTAATTCCTGGTGTGCCGGCGACCCCTGCTGGCTGCACACACCACCGCCTGGGAGATGGGAGGGTGCAGCCTGTGAGTCCAAATGAGTGTTGGATGTGACACTGCATACAACAGTGACAGTGCCCACGATTATGTGTGGACACTCCTGGGTGAAGGCAGTAATGTGACTGAACACAAAAGCCCCAAAGGTCAGGCTCAGAACTTCTGGCTCCCCTGTGGGACTCTGGGTGTCTAGGAAGGATCATTGAGCCCAGCATGTCTCCTCACCAGTGTCACATCAGTAGCAGCATAGATCCACTCAGTGAGGCACTGCTGAGGTCAAAGTAAATGTAACCAGTCCACATGTAGGGGAAAGAGTGCAGACTTTGGAATCACACTTACCTGGGTTGAAATCTTGATCCCGTGATTACTAACTGTATGACCTAGAGCAAGTTCCTGAACTTCTTTGAGCCCAGTTTCCTCACCTATAAGAGCATTACAGCAATACCTATCTTAGAGGGTTACTGTGAGTGTTTAGCACGGTGCCTAGCAATAATAAGCATTTAATAGATGCTAATTTTCTGCCTCCCTCTTCCTTTATCGACCTCCCACCCTCAAGGTCGGGCAGGGATTTCAAAAGGCAAATAAACTGGGGATAATGTTGACAATGATGATGGTGGTGGTTTATATTTACACCACTCATGCAAATCATTTTAAACATATTTTTAATACACAGCTTTTTTCCTTTTTATTAGCCAAGCACATCATGATCATGTTTTATTGGGATGGAAATATCCTGATGTTATGGCAGGTATCTAGAAAGATGGCCTTATGAAGTGATAACAAGGCATGACAAATCTTTCTTTATCGTGATACATTTTCATTACTCAGGTTAATCATGAATTACCCATTAGAACACGGGTTTAAGATAAGTACATGACAGTCATCTGTGGAGATCAAAATCTCCTGATTTTCCAATGAGTATCTAATTGTTATTGCTATTGTAGAGGGACAATTAATGCTTAAATTGAACTGGTATTAAAACATTAGAATAACTCAAGGAGATATGACAGGTAGTTAGAAATAGTATATTCTGAAATTAAAAGGAAAACAGATTTCAATTGCACCAAAGAATATTCTAATCCCTGCAGCTGTCCATCGATAGGGGCAGACTGCTTATTAAGAGCTCCATTTTAGCAGGAGTACTGAAGCAGAAACTGGCTGGCTCCCCAGCAGGCTTACTGTGAAAGAGATTCAGGCTGCAGAGGGAGATTGGATAAGAGGCCCTCTGAGCTTCCTCCACAAACACTCTCAAGTGTATGATGAATACTTAGCTCGGTAGAAGTGTCGCTCCAAACGGCATTACTGCCATACCCATAGTAATTGTTTGTCACCATGAGGTCGGGGTAAGGGAATAAAAATAATAACAATGGTGTTCTTTTCCTCTGTGAGATTTTGTTCTCCCAAAAGAGAGGAAAGAGTCCAGAATCATTCCCCCTCTAACCATCCCCACATTTTTCTTGATTTCTTCTGATTCATCTTTCTCTTAGCTTCATAGGATCCATCTTCAAGTATTTTAAAGAAAACCTTACTTAAGGAAAGAGCTTTTTTTATCCTTTAGTTTCCTGCCTATAGGAGGTGGGCAGGCAATGAGGATGGGAAGAGGGAACAAACATTTGCTGAGTGCCTATTAAGTTTAGACATTGTAATTTTTGCATTTGATTAAGAGAGGTGTGTATGTGCTTTCATGCAAGTAAGTGTATATATATATATGTATTCCTGCAAGTGTATGTATATATTGTTTTGTATCTGTGGATGTAAATGTGATGAATCTGAAGGAATTCTCTGCTGTTCAAGCCTCTCTGAACAGGGGTCTGGGGTCTTGGTATCTAGCTTATTCCAGGGAAATCTGTATGTAGCTCCTCTGAGGATTTCAATATCTTCCCTGTGTACAGACTACTCACGAATTAGTTCTTCTGGCTCCAGGATCTTTGTGCAGGATCCCAGGTTTGTCTGTCCCCATCCTGCGCACAAGTGTGTTGACATATCAAGACTCCTCCACCTCCTTGCTTTCCTGTGTGCATCACAGTGCATGCAGATCCATGTGTCCAACCAGCCCCACCTGAAGCCATGTGTGTCCAGCAGTCCCTCCTCCCAAGGAGGACTCTGTGAAGAGTCCTTGGCACCCTCCCCTCCTGGCCACCCCCACTCCCCACTTTCCATGCCAGGAGATATCTAATTACACAGAAATTAGTACAGAAAAGGATCGTTTGCTTTTATTGCATCAGTACCGGGGCAGCTATAAATCTGGAGCCGCCGCTGCAGCCGCCTCTGGGCACTGTGCAGGCTATACGGGAGCTCTCACCTCCATGCCTCCCTTTTCTCCTGGGCCTCTACCCCTGCCCAGGACCTGAGAGTTCTATTAGGTACCCATCTCAGTAGGGGAAGTGGAGAAAAGGGAGGGTAGGGTCAATCAAAAGAAGACACATAGTAGATGCTTAATAAATGTTCACTAAGTGATTAGAGAGAGGTAGATCCCAGCAATGGTAGTAACTACCCAACTACCTAGACCCAATCACCACAAGATAAATATTTCTAGTAAAATTTCTCTCCGAATTCTTAAGCTCTTACCAGACAGACTTCCTCACTTTCTTATCAACCCAGATGAAGTATATGGAGCTATCAGTCATTCTGGCTTCTACTTTAGAGACCCTGAACTCCTTCTCAGGTAGCTTCAGGTGATGAAGACAGTCCAGGTCCAGATCTTGATTCTTCTGTTTACCACCTAAGTGTCCTTGGGTATCTCCCAACCTGAGCTTTGGTTTCTTATTCTGTGAAATGGAGGACATGAAATCTACCTCTCAGGTTGTTGTGAGGCATCAATGGGAAAGCACAATTAGTCAGGTGTGATGGCATGCACCTGTGGATGCCCCTGCTCCGGGGGCTGAGGCAGGAGGATTTCTTGAGCCTGGGAGGTCAAGGCTGCAGTGAGCCCTGATCCAGCCTGGGCAATAGAGTGAGACTCTATCTCAAAATAAAATAAAATAAAATAAAATAAAGGGAGTCCACTAATTGTTATTATCACTATTAATGTCTTCCTAGCTACCACTTGCACTTCACCACCTTTACTTCTATCTCCTCTTCTCCATCACCCTTTAACCTAGCCTATATGCCAACCAACCCCCACTCAAATAGGGGGCAATAGGATATGCAGGCAGGCTGTGCCCAACCTGGAGTGACTGTTTCTATATGTCAGTGTCTTATCAGAAGACAGAGATGAGGCCAAGTGCAGTGGCTCACACCTGTAATCTCAGCACTTTGGGAGACCAAAGCGGGTGGATCACTTGAGGTCAGGAGTTCGAGACCAGTCTGGTCAATATGGTGAAACCCAATCTCTACTAAAAATACACATACACACACACACACACACACACACAAATTAGCCAGGCATGGCGCCATGCACCTGTAATCCCAGCTACTCAGGGGGCTGAGGCAGGAGAATCACTTGAACCTGGGAGACGGAGGTTGCAGTGAGCCGAGATTGCGCCAATGCATTCCAGCCTGGGCGACAGAGTGAGACTCCGTCTCAAAAAAAAAAAAAAAAAAAAAAAAAAAAAGGAAGGAGAAAGAAGAAGAAGAAGACGACGACGACAGAGATGAGGACAGGTGACTCCAACAATCCTCCGGCATCTGGAGGCAGTGTTTTACCCATAGCCAACTGTCTCCAAGCTCATTCCTTGACAGTAACTATTTTGATCTCCATTATTTCCATGGAGGGTGTAAATTAGTTCCTTGGAACACTGAAGGGTCTGGTTGTAAATGACTGTGTAGAAAGAGTCAAGGATTTAGGGAATTAGTAGGGAGCAGGAGCTGGGGAATCAGGGTGGAGACTGGAGGCTCGAACTTATCCCGGAGCAAGGTCAAAGGGCCCTTTAGGGGATCGCAGAGACAGAAACCAAACGTCCAGGCTCCCAACTTCCTGCCAACCCAGTTTTCCAAACCCAAGAATTTGGGGTCTCCTCCCTCTTGCCCTCTCCTACACTCATGTCTCCAGCCCAAGGCACTCAGCCAGGAATTCATGAATTTACTCCTATGTGGATAACCCTGAAGAGCTCTCAGTGTAGGTCAGGAAGTGAAGAGCCGGAGAAAGGAAGGGGTGTAACCCCTCCCGCAACCCCACCGTGCTCAGATCTCCAAGCACCATTTGGGCAGGACCCCCTGCTCCCACACTTCAGGGGCAGGAGGAGCCGCAGAGGGAAGCTGAGGCACTACGTCTGTGTCCAGCCTCTCACCCTCGATCTGCGTCCCAGGGAGGGTGAGGATTGGGCGTGAAGGGCAGAGCGGCGTGGGGGGCGCGGATCTCTAGCCCCCATCTCCCCCCACCCCAGCCCCAACTCAGGCTGCAGTCTCTCCTCGTTGTAGCAGCGCGAGAGCAAAGGGACGGGCAGTAAAGATGAGTGATGGCGCGGAGACAAGCAGAAATACACCATCATGAAAATGCTAATGACTCCTTGCTCTCTTTCTTTATGGTTGGAGTAATACAGACTTCAATCATAAAAACAATCTCCCAACATTTTAATGGGCTCCATCATGCCCGCACTTGTCGGTATATTTGAAGAATAAATCACCCTCCCCGCTCGGAATGAATTCGCTGTCAAACTCGGCTCCCTCGGAGAAAATGGATGGGGAGAGAGGATGGAGGGGTTTTTTTTGAGGGGGGGTCCTCCTCCCCCTCTAACTCCCTCCTAGACTGGATTGTTGTGCGAGATGCCTGGATCTTGAAATGGAGGAGGGGGCGGTCGGGAATTAAGGAAGCTGAGCCGGAAGGGAGGGTTTTGGCAAACCCGAGGCAGGGACGCAGGAACTTCACACGGAGAGAAGCCGCCCCTTAAATGGACGTGTAAGAAAGGGGCTAGAACACTGGCAGCATTAGAGGAAAGGGGCAAAATCTTGACCTTGAACCTAGAGAATGCAAATAAGATGCAGAAAGCGTGCAAATCCGCATTATTTCTGGTTATTTGGTCGGATTTCTTTCAGACTAGGCCTTAGGCAGGGGCGCAGAGGGAAAAGGGAATGTTCAAGAGATCTCCTTTGAGGAAGAGAAGACAGGACAACAAGCAAACCCAGGAGTTTCGGCTCCGACCTTGCAGGTTTCAGCGAACCAAGCCACAGGTCCGCACTGCTGAGAAGGGCCTGAGAGTCCGGGGTAATTCTCATTTCCATACAGGTGGCCGTCAGCCAATGAAAACTTGGGATACGCATACAGCAAGTAGCCAATCCCAGTTAAGGATGAGCCGAACTGACAGGTTTAATTGCATCTTGATTGGTTGTGATGTTGCTAGGCAGAAATCGGGTCCTGGAGATTGATGCGGACAAGAAGGAACAGACAGGTGAATAGGAAAATATCTGGAAACCTAGAGTCCTGGATTGACATGTTTCCTCCTGGGCTCCTTCATTCTCAAAGGATTGATGGGGTCAGGGGAATGACTCTCCCTTTTCTCCTTCTCTTGAGTGGGACAGAGCCCAACAGTTATATATGTCCCCCCAAAAGCCTTTCAAAAAATCTGGCTATTTCGAGGGCCTTCTAGTCTGAAAGCCCCCCGGAGGCCGGAGCTGGGGGGTATTTCATCCTCACCCCAGGTCTTCCAGAAGACTATCTTCAAGCCTTCTGGCTGTGGTTTAAGACCAATTTTCTCTAATATTCTCAGGAAATGGAGAAATCTTGCTCCACACTCTTCCTTCATAATCGCATGACTCAAGGAGCAAGAGATTTCCCTACCTCCTGGCCTCTCCACCCAAGGGTGCCCTCCAGATCCAGCGAGGGGTCAAAATCCTAAATCCAAAGGTCTGTGTAGTGGCATTCCCAAACTCGCTCATTCTGAGCCGTCGTTTGCACCTAATTTGCAGAGAGCCGGTCCTTTCCTCCTAATTCCCAACCCCGACCAAATCCACCTGTCTCCCTGCAGCCCCAGCCCCTTTCCTGCCACCCGGCATCTGCGGTTCCTCTCCCTCTGCCCAACTCGCCCCACACCCGACCCCTCTCTGCATCCCGCCCGCCCCGCCCCAGCGCGCCCTTGCCTGCAGCCCCCTGCTGGAGACAGGGCCTGGAGCCTCCTGCGGCTCCTGAGTCACAGCCTCCCGGGAGGCCGCAGGGTCCTGTGGGGGCAGAGGCGGGGCCCGCCGCGGGAGCTGCGAGCGCGCGGGTCTGAACTAGACCGTCCGCGAACAATATGCCACCATTTAAATCTGAACGCGCGCCAGCCGCCGATTGTGATGTTAATTCGGAGATTATTTAGGGGGGCGGGACGAAGTGGGGGGCTGGCCGCCTCTCTGTCAAAGTGCTGTCCGGAGCCTTAATATTTGTAATTGAAGCTGATGAGGACTCGGTCTCTGTTTCCACTGATAAAAAAAAAAGGCAGGGAGGGAAAAAGAGCAACTAAATTATGGGGCCGGCACAAAAACATGATTAATCAAAGGTTTGAACTGTCGCCGTGTTCGAGGCCCAGTAAATCTCGTCGGGCCGGGCCCTGCGGAGGCCGGAGGATAAATCTGAGCCGCCCGGTGTTTGCCGCCCCTTTCTGTTTACCTCTGGGTTCGCACGTCAATTAATTCAATAATTGGATTTGAAGAGATGTCAGGAGATTATAGAGGGAGAGCCGGGAGGACTGGGTGTGGAGAAAGGAGTCTGCGAGAGCCGGCGGGGTCAGGTGATGGAGGGAAGCGGAGAGCCCGGCCTGCCTAGGGAGCGCTTCATCCAGCTCGCCTCGGCTTGGGGTTTGCGAGGAGAAGACCCCCGGAAAGGCGGCTGACCTGTGCCTTATTCTCAGCGACGGTTCCCAACCCACCTCTCCAGGCACCGCTCTCATCGAGAAGCTTTCCCAAACTCTACTCTCTCAATTCTGCCTACGTCTTTCCCAATTCCGCTCTCCTTTTGAAGCTGATGAATGTCCCTGCGTGAATTCACTTGCAAGTGTTTATATGTTGGTTTGTGAAGAAGTGCATTGTTCCCTCTGTTTTACCCCATCTGCCCCGGAATTTTCCCCCATAAAGACCGAGGGTTCCCAGAAAAGCAAGGACCAAGACTTCTCTTGGAATCCCCATCCGCAAAGGTCAGAACAGGACTTTTTTCCTCACCCCCCAACTTCCCCTCCCACTCATGCTTAGAATTCTAACCTACAATCGAAGCTACCTTCTGCTTGAGGAAAATACCTTTACAAAAACATGATATACACATGCACACTGACGCCAAACATTTGGTCCCCAGGCCCTCAGCTGCAGCCTAACATGGAAGTAGATGCTTCAGAATTTCGGCCCTTCAGCAACCTGGGGTGAATCCACCAAAAGGATGGACCTGTCTCCTAAAAGGGGAGTGATCTTGATTTGCTATTTGGGAGCATGGCAAGGTTAGGGGAGTCTGCCTGCTATTGTGTGTGTATGTGACAGAGAGAAAGGGGTTAGTGGGGAGAGAGAGAAAGATGGTGGGTTTCTCTCCCTGGTCTCTATAGAATTTTATGCAGGAATGGAGAAGGTTTAAAAAAAAAAAAAAAGCATACAGGAGAACCATGTAAATGATTCTGAAAAATGACAAGATGAAATTGGAAGCCAGGGAAGGTGATGAGGGCAGAGAAACAAAGGATGTCCTGTCAGGCTGCCTTGTGGTAAAGAAGCCCTACAGAAGGACACCGGCAGGCACCTCAGTGGAGGCTGCAGCCAGTCTGCCCTAGGCCAAAATTCTGAAGCACCTACTTCTACATCAGCCTGCAGCTGAGGGCCTGGGGACCAGCGGTTTGGGATCAGTGTGCATGAGTATGTAATATATTTGTAAAGGTATTTTCCTTAAATACATGGTGAGAACAAAACACACAGCTACCCTTGACACACAGGCAAGGGAAACCAAGGAGGGAGAGCTGAGTCAAATAACAACATGAGTAGTATAGCAAACCCATTTTTATTTGAGCACAACAATTTTTTTTTTTTTTTTTTTTTTTTTTTTGAGACGGAGTCTCGCTGTTGCCCAGGCTGGAGTGCAATGGCGCAATCTCGGCTCGCTGCAAGCTCTGCCTCCTGGGTTCAAGTGATTCTCCTGCCTCAGCCTCCCGAGTAGCTGGGATTACAGGCGCCTGCCACCACACCCGGCTAATTTTTCTATTTTTAGTAGAGACGGGGTTTTGCCATTTTGGCCAGGCTGGTCTCAAACTCCTGACTTCAAGTGATCCACCTGCCTCAGCCTCCCAAGTGCTGGGACTACAGGCATGAGACACCACGCCTGTCCTAAGCACAACAATTTAAAACACTGGCTGAAGCCAGTCAAACATGCTTACTTGTTCAGATAATTATCATCCTGGCCAGGCGCCGTAGCTCACACCTATAATCCCAGCACTTTGGGAGGCTGAGACAAGCAGATCAAAAGGTCAGGAGTTCAAGACAAAACTGGCCAACATGTTGAAACCCTGTCTCTACTAAATTACAAAAATTAACTGGGCATGGTGGTGCGTGCCTGTAGTCCCAGCTACTTGGGAGGCTAAGGCAGGAGAATCGCTTGAACCTTGGGAGGCAGAGGTTGCAGTGAGTCGAGATCGCGCCTTTGCACTCCAGCCTGGGTGACAGGGTGAGACTCTGTTTAAAAAATAAATAAATAAATAAAATTATCATCCTTTGTCTCCATATGTGGGAGGCAAAATCCCATCTATGAAAGGACAAAATGGAAGATTTAAGCAGCTTTGGTTTCTATGTGGAAGCTCCTCAAAGAAGTCAGCCTTTGCCTGTTCTTTCTTGTTACTTGGTCTCAGTCTGTTAATGGCATTGATCCAACTATCCAGTCAAAAAGGAATTGGGGACTGGGCATGGTGGCTCACACCTGTAATCCCAGTACTTTGGGAAAACAAGGCAGGAGGATCACTTGAGGCCAGGAGTTCAAGACCAGCCTGGGCAACATAGCAAGATCCTATCTCTATAAAATAAAACAATTAGCTGGGCATGATGGCACACACCTGTAGTCCCTGCTGCTTGGAAGGCTAAGGTGGAAGGATCACTTGAGCCCAGTAGGTCAAGGCTACAATGAGTCATGATTGTGCCACTGTACTCCAGCCTGGGCAACAGAAGGAGACCTATAGAGGAGACGATAGAGGGAGAGCTGGGAAGAGTGCCTGTGGAGGAAGGGGTCTGTGGATAGCAGACACCTCAAAATAAAAATAAAAATAAAAATAATAAAAAATAAAGGCCAGGCACAGTGGCTCACACTTATAATCCCAGCACTTTGGGAGACCAAATCCAGAAGATGGTTTGAGGCCATGAGTTTGAGACCAGCCTGGGCAACACAGTTAGACCCCTCATCTCTAGTAGTTCTAGCTACTAGGGAGCTGAGGCAGGAAGATCGCTTGAGCCCAGGAATTCAAGGTTGCAGTGATCTATGATTGTGCTACTACACTTCAGCCTGGGCAACAGAGTGAGACCAAGTCTCTGGGGGAAAAAAAAAAAAAAATGGACCCACCCCCTGCCTTTTAGTCATAGCCTGGTTTTGGTTATATGCTCTGTGAATGAACTCTTGATAGCAAGCATTCTGTATACTGGGAAATGTTCTCATTTAAACCTAGACATTGTGCTGACATACCTTTAGAACCATGAAAGTATATATACAAACCTAGAAATGGGACAGGTACAGTGGCTCCCGCCTGTAATTCCAGCACTTTGGGAAGCTAAGGCAGGAGGATCATTTGAGCCTAGGAGTTTGAGACAAGCCTGGACAATATAGCAAGACCCTTTACTAAAATAAAAAATTAACCATGCATGGTTGTTATATTAGTCCATTTTCACACTGCTGTAAAGAAGTACCTGAGACTGGGTAATTTATAAACAGAAGAGGTTTATTTGACTCACAGTTCTGCATGGCTGGGGAGGCCTCAGGAAACATAATCATGGTAGAAGGTGAAGAGGAAGCAAGGCATGTCTTACACGGCAGCAGGAGATAGAGAGAGTGAAGAAAGCCACACATTTTAAATCATTACATCTTATGAGAACTCACTATCACAAGAATGGCATGGGGGAAACTGCCCCCCCTCCATAATCCAATCACCTCCCACCAGGTCCCTCCATGGGGATTACAATTACAGATGAAATTTGAGTGGGGACACAGAGCCAAACCATATCAGTGTTGCATGCCTGTATTCCTAGCTATTTGGGAAGCTGAGGTGGGAGGATGGCTTGAGCTCAGGGGGTAGAGGCTGCAGTGAGTTATGATGGCACCACTGCACTCCAGCCTAGGCAACAGAACGAGAGCCTGTCTCTATAATAATAATAATAATTAAGTAATAAACCTAGGAATTGAGGAATGGTGTCATAGAAAGAAATTAGCATCAGGGGTCCTTCTTCTGCAGCTCTCTCTATACTCCCCATCAGCCAAGCCTTTCATGAAGCCATCGAAGTCTTCATACTTAATCTCTCAAAACAAGGACATCTGGCCAGGTGCGGTGGCTCACGCCTGTAATCCCAATACTTTCGGAGGCCGAAGTGGGCAGATCACTTGAGGTCAGAAGTTCAAGACCAGCCTGGCCAACATGGTGAAACCCCTTCTCCACTAAATATATAAAAATTAGCCAGGCATGGTGGCATATCCCTGTAGTCCCAGCTACTCAGCAGGCTGACGCAGAAGAACCACTTGAACCTGGGAGGAGAAGGTTGCAGTGAGCTGAGATCGCACCACTGCACTCCAGCCTAGGCAACAGAGCAAGACTCCATCTCAAAGAAAAACGACACCCATCTTGTAAATGGCAATACTACAGGCTGCCCCTGATACCACAGAGAGATGAAAGATGAGATTTTTCTGCAGTATAATTGTTCATGTAAAAAAAAAAAGAAAGAAAAGAGAAAAGAAAGACGACATAATCACCACCAGATTTAGGCAGCTGGGACTGGTGGAAAGAGCACTGGCCTTGGATCCAGAAGAATTAACTTTAGGTCTGGGGCTGTCCCTATGTGATCAGAAGGGGCTGAAGACCTGAGAGCTGAAATGACTTCTGCAGCTCACACAGTGAGTGAATGGCAGGGCCACCTCAAAAACTCACTTCTTGGCCGGGCGCGGTGGCTCAAGCCTGTAATCCCAGCACTTTGGGAGGCCGAGGCGGGTGGATCACGAGGTCAGGAGATCGAGACCATCCTGGCTAACATGGTGAAACCCCGTCTCTACTAAAAAAATACAAAAAACTAGCCGGGCGTGGTGGCGGACGCCTGTAGTCCCAGCTACTCGGAGGCTGAGGCGGGAGAATGGCGAACCCGGGAGGTGGAGCTTGCAGTGAGCCGAGATTGGGCCACTGCACTCTAGCCTGGGCCACACAGCGAGACTCCGTCTCAAAAAAAAAAAAAAAAAAAAAACTCACTTCTCCACTCTCCCAGTTTCTTCTATAGACAGCATAGTATGGAATCACACTTCCTGGGTTCAAATACAGCTTCTCCTACTTACTAGCTGTGTCTTAGTTCCCGCTTCTGTAAAGTAGGGAT